GGGGCAGGAGCCGGGGGCGCCCCGTGCGTGCCAGCCGCCCCCCGCCCCGCAGTGTCCTTCGTCCTGTCGAGGATGGCGGCGTGCGGCGGCGCCGCCAAGAACAAGCTGACGGTGCCCAAGCGCCTGTGGGACTTCGTGAGCAAGGAGAGCCCGGGCAAGCTGGCGCGCCTCAAGGAGGACACGCGGGTGAGCATCCTGGTGGACGGCGAGACCTCCGAGGTGTACGTGCTGCAGCTGAGCGCGCCCGCCGGCGCCAACGCCAGCGGCCTCTGCGCCGCCCGCAAGGCGCTCAAGGCGCTGCTCAAGGAGGCCGAGAAGGAGCTGAAGAAGGCGCGGCGGCACGGCGAGCCGCTGGCGTGCGTGGCGCTGCTGCCCGGCGCGCGCCCGCCCGCCGCCGCCTCCGGCATCGCCACGCAGTAGCTCGCCATGAGCTGGCGGAAACCCTCCTCCAGCGACCAGCACTCGTAGGTGCCGGCGCGCTCGGGGCTGCCCACGAGCACCAGGGCGCCGTCGGGCAGCACCAGGTAGGAGGCGTTGACGGGCGCGCCGTTGTGCGCCCAGCGGCGCGTGGCCAGGTTGGAGAGCAGCTGGCAGGGCAGCGGCCGCACCGCGTTGGGCGGCAGCCGCACCGCCTGGCACGGGGCGCCCGAGCCTGCGGGGCACCGGCGCGTCACGGAGCAGCACGGAGCCGCTGCCCGCCCGGCCCCGGCCCCAAGCCCCCGCCCTGTCCTTGTTCCCTTCCCATCCATGTCCCATCTCCATCTTCAYCCCCATCCCATCCCATCTCCATCCCCGTTCCCATCCCTATCCCCATCCTCATGCCTATCCTCCTTCCCATCCCCTTCCCATCTATATCTCATCTCCATCTTCATCCCCACCCTACTCTGGGCCCCTGGACCAATCCCAATGTCCATCCTATCACCGTCTTGTATCCGTCCCATCCCCAACTCCATCTCTATTCCTGTCCCTTTCCCCATGCCCATCCATCCACATCCCCATTCTTGTCCTCCTCCCTGTCCATCCCCATTCTTCCCTGTTCCCATCCCAATCCCAACCTTGTTCTCGTCCCTCTCCCTCCTTGCTCCCCTCCCTGTTCCCATCCCACCCCACAAGCCCCCTGCTCCTGCCCCCAGCCCCCAGAGCTCACCCGGGGGCTGCAGCACACGGGGCCGGGGCTGCGAGGCGTTGGGCAGGCGGCAGAGCCGCTCCGTGTCCGCGCCCTCCACGTCCTGCACCCAGAGCCTGCGGGCGCACGGTCGGGGTGCCAGGGGCAGGGCAGCACAGGGGACGGGGGCAGCACGTAGGGGATGGGGGGCAGCACACAGGGGACAAGGGGCAGGACATAAGGGGCCAGGGACAGGACATAAGGGACAAGGGACAGCACTAACTGCTGCAGGGGGTGTGGGACGGCACATAGGGGCCAGGGGGCAGCACATAGGGGCTGGGGGCAGCAGTAGCCGCTGCATGGGATGGGGGGCAGCACACAGGGGCCGGGGGGCAGCACTCACTGCGCGTGCGCGCGGGGGCCGGGGGGCAGGCGGCGGCAGGCGCCCCGGCCCCACGCGCAGAAGGGGTCGCGGGCCAGCACGCACTCGCCGCAGCTGCGGTACAGGCTGCAGTTGGCGAAGGGCACCTGGGCCACGGCGTCGTAGGAGGCGGCGTAGAGCAGAGCCTGTGGGCGCGAGCGGTCAGCGCGCGGCCCCGCGGCGGGCGCGCGGCCGGCCGGACCCCCGCGCACTCTTGCCTGGGGCGGGTCGAGCAGCAGCTGCAGCACGGGCTGCCCGGCGCGGAACACGCGCAGCTCCTCGATGATGTGCACCTTGCGGCTCACGCGCACCGCCTTGTGCAGCCGCCCGTCGTCTGCAGGGCGAGCGCGGCGCTGAGCGGGGCCCGCGGCACCGGCGCCGGCCCGGGCCCTCCGCGCCGCCACCTGCACCCACCGGTGCCCAGGAAGAGGACGTCGTAGGTGCCGCGCAGGCCCTGCGCACGGTGCACGCCGATCTGCAGGTAGCGCAGGCGGCTCTGCAGCAGCAGCGGCTGGCTCCGCACCGCGCTGTCCATCAGGAAATGGTCCTTGACGAAGTTGAGCACCCGGTCCGGCATCTGCAGCGACGAGTTGATGCGCAGGTGCCGCGTGCGGCTCGTGATGCACTGCGGGGACAGCGGCGCTGGGACGGGGCGCGCGGCGGCGCCGGGGCGGCCCCGGGGACACGCGGTGGCACGCGGGGACGGGGCGCGTACCGAGCCCGGCCGCGGCTCCGGCACGGGGCTGGTGTCCGTGTACCACTGCTGCGTCTCGCGGTTCACCTCCTTGTAGAGGCCGGCGAAGGCGCCCTGCACGCTGCGCATGGGGAAGGCGCACACGGCCGAGCCGCCCAGGCCGCCCTTGCTCCTGCGGACACGGGCGCGCGCTGAGCCCTGCACAGCCCCCGCGGGCGCCCGCCACCCCGCGGCCCTCACCACTGCGACGTGAACACCCCGTAGAAGAGCGTCTCGCGCCAGCGCTGCTCGCCGGGCGTCAGCACGAAGACGCCGCGCAGCACGTTGAAGGGGAAGCCGTCGTCGGGGTGCGAGCAGAGCAGCTGCGCCTTCAGGAAGGTCGTCCAGCGCCGCTGCAGCACGCGCTCGCCGCCCTGGTCCCCCTGCGGCGCAGCAGCGTCAGCGCCGGCACCCCGGGCCCCGGCAGGGACCGGGCAGCACCGGCCACCCCCACAGCAGGGCACAAACGGGGGACGCAGCCAGGGGAGGCAGCCGGGGGATGCAGCGGTTGCAGGATGTGGGAGGGATGATGCAGCAGGTGGGGAGGATGCAGCGGGAAATGGGGCATCCTGGACCAGGCACCACCAAACTGGAACCTGGCAGCAGCTGCCAGTGAAGGCTGATCCCTTCCCGGGGCTATGGGATCCAGTGGGACAGAGGATGGGAGGGATAGATGGACCCGCCGCAGGCATCACGTGCGCACACGCACCCAGGCCCCACACGCRCAGCCCCACCTTGCACACACGGGCAATGCGTGACACGATGGTGTTCTCRAAGTAGTCGAACTCCTTGCCGGTCTCGCTGAAGAAGAAGTAGATCTTGTCGTCGTCACCCTCGGGGTTGCCCGTGGGGAGGCTCTCCCGCAGGTAGGCTGAGCCCACGAAGACGGGGTCTGGTGGCACAGGCACCCTGAGCGTCACGCGAGGGCCTGAGGCTCTCCCAACTGCACGCACGGCCCCCACGGCTGTCCACAGCACCCAGCCCGCACGCACAGTGCTCGTGCAGCGTGCACAGCACCATTCCTCATGGACAGCATCCATCTGCATGCACAGCACCTGCCCTGCATGCACGGTGCCCATCCTGCATGCACGGTGCCATCCCACACGCACAGCACCCAGCCYGCAYGCACAGTGCTCRTGCAGCRTGCASAGCACCRTTCCTCCTGGGCAGTATCCATCTGCATGCACAGCACCTGYCCYRCATGCACGGTGCCCATCCTGCAAGCACAGTGCAATCCCACCCGCACAGCGCCCAGTCTGCCTGCACGGTGCCCGTCCCGCATGCACAGCACTAGGGCTTGCCCAAGCATACAGCGTCCATCCTGCACGCACGAGGCCCCTCCAAGTGCATGTGCAGCACCTCTCCCATGCTCCTACGCATCCCATGTGCAGAGGGTCCACCCTGCACCCTGCACATGCAGAGGGTCCACCCTGCAGGTGCCACGTGCCTCCCCACTGCAGACAGGCAGTGCCCCGACCCGCGCCAGCCCCTGCCCTCACCCTGCAGCCAGTTGAGGGAGTTCTCCGTCTTGAGGGAGATGCGGCTCTCCTGGCTCCGGTAGATGGTGGGCTCGTTGCCCTGGAAGTTGCTGACGGTGCCGGCGTAGAGCTCGCCGTCTGCAGGACACGAGCGGCCACTGGGACCCGCGGTGCCGYCCGGCCGGCCGCAGGCCTCGGCGCGCGCCCGGCGCGGCCAGCCTTACCGACCATGACGGCCGTGGACTTGTACTCGGGGTCGAAGGGGCAGCGGCCCTTGCCGTCCTCCAGCAGCGGCTTCCCCRCCGCGTCCCGCTCCAGGCTGAAGCGCTGCACGTCCTGCAGGGYGAGCGGTGCTGAGCGGCACCGGGGCCGCCACGTCCCCACGCGCCGCTCGGAGCGCGGCGGAGCACGGCGCTGCTCACCACGTAGGCGCAGGCGGGGCTGAACGCGCAGGTGCCGCACGTGTACAGGTGGGTGCTGTTGAGCCGCAGCAGCATCTTGATGTAGTTGTGACAGTCCCGCTGCGGGGGGCGGAGGAGGGCGCTGAGCCCGTGGCCCGCGGGCCGGCCCGGCGCGGTGCCGCCACGGGGCTCACCTGCGGGTCCTTGCCCTTGAACACGCACTGCCGCTTCTTCTCGCCGTCCGCGCTCCAGGGCARCTGCGGAGAGCCATGGTGATGGGAGCACCGCGGCAGCCGGGCAGCCTCCACGCACGGCACGGTGTGCKCAGCGTGCACGGCACGGACGCACAGTGCGGCGCGCGCGGCACGGCCCCGGGCTGCACTCACCCTGCGCACCAGCGGCCCCGGCTCGAAGCGGCTGGTGTTGACGGCCAGCAGCACCTCGCGCGCGCCCAGGTAGAGGGTGCCGCCGTCGGGGCTCAGCAGCAGCGCCGTGATGTTGGAGACGCCGGGCACCTCGAACCGCTGCACCGCCCGCTCGGGTGAGTCTGCCAAGGGGCAGAGGCAGCGTCGGCCACGGCGCCGCAGCCACGCGGCAGCCCACGGCACGCACGGCCTCGGGGTATGCACGGCCCCACAGCAGCCATGGCCCCACAGTGTGCATGGCCCCACAGTGTGCATGGCCTTGCAGCACGCACAGCCCCACAGCACGCACAGCCTCGGGGCACACACAGCTCTGCAGCGCGCACGGCCGCACGGTGCACAGGGCCCTGCAACGTGCATGGCCCCAGGGCACACACGGCGTCACTGCGCGCACGGGCGGGCGCAGCCGCGGGCTGCTCCTGCARCTCGTGTCCTCGGGGCTCTCCCTGCAGCCGCCCCGCTTGGCCCGGGGCGCACCGCGGTGCCAGGCACCAGACGCAGTGTCCATATCCGCGGCAGCCCGTGCGAGGGGCAGCGCTGGAGCCCAGCAGCGTGGGCAGCACCCAGAACAGCCCCTGCAGTCCTTGGAGGCCCACCCGCACTCCTGCTGCAGCCCCACAGAACGGGCAGGAGGCAGGTCTGCAGAGTGGCTGGGCTGGCGCAGCGCTCACACTGCTGAGCTGCGCCAGGGCTGGCACATGAGGGTCAGGCACATGTAGCACCGGCCGCTGGCGAGCAGCACACGGACCTGGTTCTGCCTGGGGCAGCACTGCCGCTTGCATTGCACCTGGGAAGTTCTCCAGGAAGCACCCTGGGAATTGCCCTGGTAAACGTGCTGGGAAGCACCCTGGGAAGTGCCCTGGGAAGCAAACCTAGGGCTGCAGGTGCCAGGGAGGAGCCCCGGGCGCAGCTCCCCACGCGGGCAGGAGGCCGGCGCTGCCGCCRCTCACCTGGGCGGTGGGCGCGTGGGCGGCTGGGCCACGGAAGCCCTTCCGCTGCCGGCACGGCCGCTGAATCAGCGGGGCCGGCTGTGTCAGCGGGACGCGCCGCTGACTCACGCGGCCACCTCCCGCGCGCGCCCGCGGCGGCCCAGCCAGGCCTCCGGAGCCGGCCACCCTTTGGCACAGCATGGCACGGCATGGCTCTGCCTGACACGGAGCGCGCGGGCATCCAGCCCTGCAGCACCGGGCTGCTCCCACATGGGCAGCGCTGCTGAARCAGGGCCAAGACCACGCACCACAGCAGCCTTCCCTCTGTGCACATCCCTTGCACCCCGGCTCTACCCCGTGGCCCTGGCAGTGTCCTGTCCCATGCAGAGCCCTCGTGCAGTACTCTGCTCCGTGCACAACTCTTGTGCAGCACCCTGCCCCGTGCAGAGCCCTCGTGCAGCACCCTGCCCCGTGCAGAGCCCCCGCACCCCGGTGCAGAGCCCTCGTGCAGCACCCTGCCCCGTGCAGAGCCCTCGTGCAGCACCCTGCCCCGTGCAGAGCCCTCGCACCCCGGTGCAGAGCCCTCGTGCAGCACCCTGACCCGTGCAGAGCCCTCGCACCCCGGTGCAGAGCCCCTCCAGCCCCAGCAGCCCGCAGCTCGGGGCGCAGCTCTCGCCCCATGCCTGCCCTGCTGGCGCGGGGCTCGTCCCGCCGGTGCAGGCCGCGGCCTCCCRCCCCTGCGCAGCCCTCCCGGCGCAGGGAGCAGCTCCCGGCACCYGTGCCCGCTGCCAGAGGGACCTGTCAGGACAGGACCTGCTTCTTCCAGACAAACCTGCTGGAGGCAAATCCAGCTGCTTCCAGGAGAGCAGCTCGCCCTGCTCCTCCCTCCCAGCCCACCACAGGCCCCACACGGCCGCGCTGGATGCGGCTGCTCCATGGAGGGAGCCCCTCGCCAGCTCCCCGCGCTGGGTGCATCCAGCTGGGCCCATGGTTGCTCCATGGAGGGAGCCGCAGCTGCAGCCTYGGCGCGTGGCCGAGCCCCAAGGAACCGCAGCTCCCCGCACTGGCAGCACCCCCAGCCCCCGGCCAGCACTGTGCTGGCCAAACCCCCCACGTGCTCCCCAGCTGGGAGCCCCTTGCAGAGCCCCACTGCACCCCAGGGCAGCGCAGGGCACGTGGGGACGCACCAAGGCCGCATGGCTGAGACAGGAGCRGTGGCAGCCCCTGGTACAGGGTGCACTGAAGCCCCCGCAGCCGCCCAGCCCCGTCTCACAGGGACCCCGGTGCCAGTAGCGCCCGGTCTCGGCTGAGGGACAGCGAGCCCCAGCTTGCTGGGCCGGGGTCCCGCAGGCTGAGCCCGGCGGCGGCACTGGGTCACCCCACGCTGGGACCAGGACAGCAGAGCCTCGGCCGCTGGACACGGGGGAGCAGCTCCCTCAACTCGTCCCGGGAGCTGTGTGCGGCTGTCCACCCGCAAAGCCCCGCGAAGCACCCAGGAGCAGCACCCGGGGTCCCGGGTGTTTAGCGGGGAGCAGGAGCCCGGGGCAGCCCGTCCCGACGCTGGGGTCCCGAGCGGCGGGTCCGGCGCAGCACTCACCGTAGGGCAGGCTCACCCGCGGGACCGGCTCCTGGGCCGCCGAGAGCAGCAGCGCCGCCAGCACCG